TCTGAAAATAAATAGTTCAATAAGTACATATACAATGGTAGGCTTCTTCTTTTGAACGAGAAATGCTCCCGTATCAGAAGTAAACCCCTCTTTCTTATCATAAAAATTACTAAAACAAGAACCGCTTATACTACAAATTTGTTAAATAATAATTAACCAGTTTAACAGAAAACTTCAAACCGTAAGTAAAGTAACGGATGTCTACCGAAGGGTGTGCGCAGTTACATGCCTTAATTCCTCTCTCCGTTTTCCACAATCGGTCTTTTATAATTTGTACAACAACCGATCGATTACAATCTGTATGTTGCAGATTTTTAACACAGTTATATTGCTGTGACTATAATATTTCCTTTTCATTTTTTTCTTCTTTATTTTATTAAATTAATTAAAATGTACAAGCTACCTATAGCTCAATCTAATGGTGTTTACTTCATGTCATGGATGTACGCATTGCCGTTTTTTTTTAATATAAGTACATTCAGATATGGCGTTGGACATACAAAATACAACAATAATATCTCCTATCGGTTTAATTTTGAGGAGATATTAGTTAAAGTTTCTCAACATGGTACACAAGTCGGCAACTTATACATTTAAAGGTTATTCCACAACGTATGCTATTTCGTCTAATGATGACATTGTTATTGTACTTAGTGATGCATTAATTTTAGTTTCAAAATGTCAACAACTTAATTTTATAAGAAAACAATTTTCGAGTTCCATAACTCGTTTTGCATTATTTTAATATTTCAATTAAATGGTGATGGAATTTTTAATGTTATGCAGAGACTCGTGTATTGAAAAAAAAATCATAAATAACTTAAATAAATCGCTAATTTATAATATTGTTGTGTCTCGAACGTCGTCAAGTCTGTGTTTAATATTATTACTTATTTTTATTCTTTATATATTCATTATTTATTTAATTTTTCATCATGTAATGGCGAGCAAGAATATTCTACAACCGATATTTATATCTTTCCGTTGTATGACGATGAACTATCATTTTTAATTAACTTTAGCTTATAACTCGAAATAATAAAAAACTGCAATTGCCAAATCTCCTGCCAAGCGTGACATCTATGGCAAAATAGCCTCTATGGGGCAATCTATGGGGGTAGCCTAAGTTATGCAGTGTTTTTAGACTAATAGATGGATGGATAGCTTTATTAAATTTCTATATACGTCCCATATTTGAGCATAGAGTTTGTTTCATTTTTGAGTAAATTTTGGCGCAGGGAAGAGTACACCGCGCTGCTCCGACGCGTGGTAGCTGATCTTAGACGATATAAAATTAATAAGAAATTAAAGATACTTTGGACCGTTAGTTTAAACGTATATAGCTGTAGCCCTAATAATTTTGCCAACAGGGATAAAACACTAGCATAATGCTGCCGTGCTATAATTAGGTGTCTATAGTCTATAGGCCACAGTTTTCATTTACAGGTGGTCTGTGTGTTCGCCAGTTATCGTTACTAGCATTAAAAGAAAGATATACTTTGTTCGCTTCGACGATATTGTCTTCTAGTGCATTTCACTTAATTCCTTCCTCTTCATTCCATCATCAGACCACCTGACGTTCGGCTGGTACAACTGCACATACACGACACGAATTAAAATTCATTCAATGTTTGAACTATACGGCGTGCTTCGCCTTTCGTAATGACATCATTACCTTTCTATTTAAGGCAAGAGTGAATAGGATTTTGTTAAGCGCGCTTTACAACATCTTCGGCTGCATAACCACTAACCAGCACAGTGGGTAGAATAGTAGCCAATTACTGGGTTACAATAGTTAAAAAAACACGTTAATATATTCAGATTTTTTATACTTAGTAGAGCCATGCTACAGCTGTATTAGTTGTATAGCTGTAACACGAATAGGTCGGCTGGAACGGGGAAGTACCACGCTCTCACTATTGGTATTCTACCAGCATAAAATAGCAGCTTAACATCGCTGTGTTACGTATGTAGTCTAGAGACACTGGACACCGATTTTACTGGAAACGAGGCATGCCATCATAGTTCTTACGGGTGACAACGCATCTGCGTTTTGATTCGCAGTCGAAGATATATGCAGATATCTATGGGTCATAGCAACTATTTACCATCAGTTGGATTGTGTGCTCGTTTGTCACCTTATCCTATAAAAAGATAACCACCAAAAAATATTAAATGCGTATCCTATATTGAATGTTTCTATTTGCTTAAGTACGTTCTTAAGTTGTTATATTATGTCCGATCATAAAACTTCAACGGAAGTATTTAGTCTTCTTATGCAGCGAGTCCTGGTTTTTCCCCATTATTAGAGGTAGATGCCATAAAACCTTTTAGTAGAAAGCGTATCCAAGAAAAATTTAAACGGAGGAGAATGTGTGCTGCTATCTCCTTCTATACCCTCATGAACTCATGATAGAAAGAAAAGCCCATTCAAAATATTAAGCATCAGTTTAATATTTAAGTGTGAAATACAATTTATTTTTTAAAACAAAGTTTTCATAGTTTATGGGTTTCGACTGCCTCGTTGGTCTATTGGTTGTAGTAGTGCGACTGCTCGTCATGAGTTCCTGGGTTGGAATCCCGCGTCCGGCCAAAAACCAATTTATTGAGTTTTTCTGTCAAGAAATTCTCAGTAGCTGCCCGGAGTCAGGAAGTTGGCGGTGTCTCACCCCCGTACCTCGGAAAGCACGTAAAGCCGTTGGTCCTGCGCCTGATCTCTCTCCCGGTCGTGTCGGTTTACCGTCCCATCGGATTACGAGAGTTAGGTAATAGAGAGTGCACCTGTGCTTGCGCATACACTTGGGAAATATAATCCTGTCCTGCGCCGATGGCTAGCCTCCGTTGAGGCAGGTCGGCATGGCCGAAATTTGGTCTGGAGGACATTTCATTAGTTTATGTTTCACTGACATAGCCTTCCGTTTTTGTAAACTGAAATTGCAATAGGCTGGTCACATCTATCATAGAAGTGACAACAGTTGGAGGAGACGTGCAATCTCAAAAAACTGATAACTGATTGGTACGGAATACTTAAAATATTATGGGAGGAGTGGAGGGGTTGGAGTTGGAGTTGGAGCACTGCGTTTAACGAAATTCCGTTGATAAATGTGTGTATTTATAAATTCCAAGTTTAACATCGCCATAACTTTATAGTGCTTAGCATCAATTTATCAATATCGACATAACCGACTATCGATAATGTTATTAATTATGGAGCACTCGATACCATAGTGTCGTTATGAATTTTAACGCGCCGCTTTAATGAGTTCCAACGTGTCAATATGTCTTCGTTAGATGACAACACCGTTTAGAAAATTAAAAATTTGTATAATGTTATTTCCGTGCCTGATTTACTGTTGATTAAAAAAAGAATTTTAATTAAACCTTTTGAACTGTTTGCTGATCGACTTGAGATTTTTAGATTACTTTAAATAACTAGATTGAAAGTGTAGTTTGTTTACGTTATATTTAATATCAAAAGTTCAGGAGAACTTTATTCATCTGGGTTTGTAGATAACTTATACATTACTTTACTAGCTTTTATTGATTCTTTTGCAGGCTAGTGGCTCTCAAAGATAGACTAACTTAATGTTAACGTGGAGATTAAGCTTGACATCTTCTATTCAAGTAAATAAAATTGAAATATCTGTTTGTAATGTCAAAATAACATATTTTTACAAAATGCATATGTAAGTCTATACGATACATAACAAAAACACAATTTAAAATTTTTTTATCTGTCTGTCTGTCTGAATGTTTGTTCCGGCTAATCTCTGAAACTGCAGGGTCGATTTTAATGGGACTTTCACTGATCTCATAAAGAGTAACTTAAGCTGTTTTAATTTTAGAAAAAGAATAAGGGTTCCGCTCAAAAAAATTAAAACCCTAAATTACACGCGGGTGAAGTTACAGGGAACAGCTAGTTGTAGATAAATCATCATATTTGCTAAGAATGAAAAACTAACGTACAGTCCACCTGGTAAGTAAGTGGTCCATGTAAGTAGCTATTGCAGCTTATGGACAATTGCTACCTACTACAAACAAAGAAGGCAGATGCATTGCCACAACATCTAAGGATATTCTTCAGACTGGAACACAAGAGTGCTAGCAGTGTTCAAATGTGTATGAAGTAGATAAGAAGGTAACTACACTTAATAAAAACTTAAAGTAATAAGTACATACTAAAATTTGCCTATAAACTATATACTATAATTTTGGTCCTTTACTTGGTAGCTCCTTCCTTGCTTAGAAGTTCAACTCGGTAGACACCACTCTCATACCTATTTCTGTCTTTAAGAAGCCATACAACGTTTGTTTTGTTCCGATGATAAGACAGCTAGAATATTTATACCCTATCATCATCATCATCATCATTAAAGCCCTTCACAAGTCCACAGCTGAACATAGGCCTCCCCCAAGTAATGCCACAAAGCACGGTTCTGAGCCACCTGCATCCATCGACTTCCTGCATATCTTACCAGGTCGTCACTCCATCTAGTGAGGGGTCACCCACAAACGCCTACCGGTACGAGGCTGCCACTCGAGAACCTTTCTTCCCCATCGGTTACCGGTTCTTCGAGCTATATGGCCAGCCCATTGCCACTTCAGCTTACTAATCCGTTGGGCTATGTCGGTCACTCTGGTTTTACTGCGGATATCCTCATTTCTGAGTCTATCACGCAGAGAAACTCCGAGCATAGTCCCCCCCCCCTCATACGGCCAGCTGTGAAGGACCACGTCTCAGATCCGTAAGTCATCACTGGTAACACGCACTGGTTATACACTTTAGTTTTCAGAGATTAAGGTATATACCTGACGAGAAGATGTGTCGTAATTTCACGAACGCTGCCCAGCCGAGTTGAATCCGTCTATTGACCTCTCGGTCGAAGTTGGACTTACCTAGTCGGACTATTTGTCCCAGGTAAACGTACTCGTCAACAACTTCGGGCATAGTGCTCCCAACAACTAGATTAAGTCAACAGACTGATATTTATGTTTTTGAGATGCCTGCCAGTTTCAATAGGCTACAAAAACTGTTCACGATATCAGACTACAAGATCACACAGTCCTTAGCTCGAATAGGCTACTGTGGCTATCAACTATCTGGCAGATTCTGGAGTAATTTTCACTCTACTGAATTAGAAGTCAAAGAGACACAGTGCTTAGCTCCAATGGGCTACTGTGGCTATTCACTATCTAGCAGATTGTGGAGTAATTTTTACTCCATTAACGTAGAAGTCAAAGAGCCACAGTACTTAGCTCCAATTGGCTACTATGACTATTCACTATCTGGCAGATTGTGGAGTCATTTTTACGCTATTAACGTAGAAGTCAAAGAGCCACAGTGCTTAGCTCCAATTGGCTACTGTTACTATTCACCATCTGGCAGATTGTGGAGTCATTTTTACGCTATTAACGTAGAAGTCAAAGAGCCACAATGCTTAGCTCCAATGGACTAATATGGCTATTCACTATCTGGCAGATTGTGGAGTCATTTTTACTTTATTAACGTAGAAGTTAAAGAGTCACAGTGCTTAGCTCCAATTGGCTACTATGACTATTCACTATCTGGCAGATTGTGGAGTCATTTTTACGCTATTAACGTAGAAGTCAAAGAGCCACAGTGCTTAGCTCCAATTGGCTACTGTTACTATTCACCATCTGGCAGATTGTGGAGTCATTTTTACGCTATTAACGTAGAAGTCAAAGAGCCACAATGCTTAGCTCTAATGGACTAATATGGCTATTCACTATCTGGCAGATTGTAGAGTCATTTTTACTTTATTAACGTAGAAGTTAAAGAGTCACAGTGCTTAGCTCCAATTGGCTACTGTGGCTATTCACTATCTGGCAGATTGTGGAGTCATTTTTACGCTATTAACGTAGAAGTCAAAGAGCCACAATGCTTAGCTCTAATGGACTAATATGGCTATTCACTATCTGGCAGATTGTAGAGTCATTTTTACTTTATTAACGTAGAAGTTAAAGAGTCACAGTGCTTAGCTACAATTGGCTACTGTGACTATTCACTATCTGACGGATCGTGGAGTCGTTTTTACCATATTAACGTAGAAGTCAAAGAGCCACAATGCTTAGCTCTAATGGACTAATATGGCTATTCACTATCTGGCAGATTGTGGAGTTATTTTTACTCTATTAACGTAGAAGTCTAAGAGCCACAGTGCTTAGCTCCAATTGGCTACTGTGGCTATTCACTATCTGGCAGATTGTGGAGTCATTTTTACGCTATTAACGTAGAAGTCAAAGAGCCACAATGCTTAGCTCTAATGGACTAATATGGCTATTCACTATCTGGCAGATTGTAGAGTCATTTTTACTTTATTAACGTAGAAGTTAAAGAGTCACAGTGCTTAGCTCCAATTGGCTACTGTGACTATTCACTATCTGACGGATCGTGGAGTCGTTTTTACCATATTAACGTAGAAGTCAAAGAGCCACAATGCTTAGCTCTAATGGACTAATATGGCTATTCACTATCTGGCAGATTGTAGAGTAATTTTTGCTCTATTAACGTAGAAGTCTAAGAGCCACAGTGCTTAGCTCCAATTGGCTACTGTGGCTATTCACTATCTGGCAGATTGTGGAGTCATTTTTACGCTATTAACGTAGAAGTCAAAGAGCCACAATGCTTAGCTCTAATGGACTAATATGGCTATTCACTATCTGGCAGATTGTAGAGTCATTTTTACTTTATTAACGTAGAAGTTAAAGAGTCACAGTGCTTAGCTCCAATTGGCTACTGTGACTATTCACTATCTGACGGATCGTGAAGTCGTTTTTACCATATTAACGTAGAAGTCAAAGAGCCACAATGCTTAGCTCTAATGGACTAATATGGCTATTCACTATCTGGCAGATTGTGGAGTTATTTTTACTCTATTAACGTAGAAGTCTAAGAGCCAAAGTGCTTAGCTCCAATTGGCTACTGTAACTATTCACTATCTGGCAGATTGTGGAGTCATTTTTACGCTATTAACGTAGAAGTCAAAGAGTCACAGTGCTTAGCTCCAATTGGCTACTGTGGCTATTCACTATCTGGCAGATTGTGGAGTAATTTTTTAAGCTATTAACGTAGAAGTCAAAGAGCCACAATGCTTAGCTCTAATGGACTAATATGGCTATTCACTATCTGGCAGATTGTAGAGTCATTTTTACTTTATTAACGTAGAAGTTAAAGAGTCACAGTGCTTAGCTCCAATTGGCTACTGTGGCTATTCACTATCTGGCAATTTGTAGAGTCATTTTTGCTCTATTAACGTAGAAGTCAAAGCGCCACAGTGCTTAGCTCCAATTGGCTACTGTGACTATTCACTATCTGACGGATCGTGGAGTCGTTTTTACCATATTAACGTAGAAGTCTAAGAGCCACAGTGCTTAGCTCCAATTGGCTACTGTAACTATTCACTATCTGGCAGATTGTGGAGTCATTTTTACGCTATTAACGTAGAAGTCTAAGAGCCACAGTGCTTAGCTCCAATTGGCTACTGTAACTATTCACTATCTGGCAGATTATGGAGTCATTTTTACGCTATTAACGTAGAAGTCAAAGAGTCACAGTGCTTAGCTCCAATTGGCTATTGTGACTATTCACTATCTGGCAGATTGTGGAGTCATTTTTACGCTATTAACGTAGAAGTCAAAGAGTCACAGTGCTTAGCTCCAATTAGCTATTTTGACTATTATTCACTATCTGGCAGATTGTGGAGTCATTTTTACGCTATTAACGTAGAAGTCAAAGAGCCACAGTGCTTAGCTCCAATTGGCTACTATGACTATTCACTATCTGGTAGATTGTGGAGTTATTTTTACGCTATTAACGTAGAAGTCAAAGAGCCACAGTGCTTAGCTCCAATTGGCTACTGTGACTATTAACTATCTGGCAGATAGTGGAGTCGTTTTTACGCTATTAACGTAGAAGTCAAAGAGCCACAGTGCTTAGCTCCAATTGGCTACTATGACTATTCACTATCTGGTAGTTTGTGGAGTTATTTTTACGCTATTAACGTAGAAGTCATAGAGCCACAGTGCTTAGCTCCAATTATCTACTGTGGCTATTCACTATCTGGCAGATTGTGGAGTCATTTTTACGCTATTAACGTAGAAGTCAAAGAGCCACAGTGCTTAGCTCCAATTGGCTACTATGACTATTCACTATCTGGTAGTTTGTGGAGTTATTTTTACGCTATTAACTTTGATGTCTAAGAGCCACAGTGCTTAGCTCCAATTGGCTACTGTGACTATTCACTATCTGGCAGATTGTGGAGTCATTTTTACGCTATTAACGTAGAAGTCAAAGAGCCACAGTGCTTAGCTCCAATTGGCTACTGTGACTATTCACTATCTGGCAGATTCTGGAGTCATTTTTACTCTAATAACGTAGAAGTCAAAGAGCCAAAGTGCTTAGCTCCAATTGGCTACTGTGACTATTCACTATCTGGCGGATCGTGGAGTCGTTTTTATTCTATTAACGTAGAAGTCAAAGCGCCACAGTGCTTAGCTCCAATTGGCTACTGTGACTATTCACTATCTGGCAGATTGTGGAGTCATTTTTACGCTATTAACGTAGAAGTCAAAGAGCCACAGTGCTTAGCTCCAATTGGCTACTGTGGCTATTCACTATCTGGCAGATTGTGGAGTAATTTTTAAGCTATTAACGTAGAAGTCAAAGAGCCACAATGCTTAGCTCTAATGGACTAATATGGCTATTCACTATCTGGCAGATTGTAGAGTCATTTTTACTTTATTAACGTAGAAGTTAAAGAGTCACAGTGCTTAGCTCCAATTGGCTACTGTGGCTATTCACTATCTGGCAGATTGTGGAGTCATTTTTACGCTATTAACGTAGAAGTCAAAGCGCCACAGTGCTTAGCTCCAATTGGCTGCTGTGACTATTCACTATCTGACGGATCGTGGAGTCGTTTTTACCATATTAACGTAGAAGTCTAAGAGCCACAGTGCTTAGCTCCAATTGGCTACTGTAACTATTCACTATCTGGCAGATTGTGGAGTCATTTTTACGCTATTAACGTAGAAGTCTAAGAGCCACAGTGCTTAGCTCCAATTGGCTACTGTAACTATTCACTATCTGGCAGATTATGGAGTCATTTTTACGCTATTAACGTAGAAGTCAAAGAGTCACAGTGCTTAGCTCCAATTGGCTATTGTGACTATTCACTATCTGGCAGATTGTGGAGTCATTTTTACGCTATTAACGTAGAAGTCAAAGAGTCACAGTGCTTAGCTCCAATTAGCTATTGTGACTATTATTCACTATCTGGCAGATTGTGGAGTCATTTTTACGCTATTAACGTAGAAGTCAAAGAGCCACAGTGCTTAGCTCCAATTGGCTACTATGACTATTCACTATCTGGTACATTGTGGAGTTATTTTTACGCTATTAACGTAGAAGTCAAAGAGCCACAGTGCTTAGCTCCAATTGGCTACTGTGACTATTCACTACCTGGCAGATTGTGGAGTCATTTTTACGCTATTAACGTAGAAGTCAAAGAGTCACAGTGCTTAGCTCCAATTGGCTACTGTGACTATTCACTATCTGGCAGATCGTGGAGTCGTTTTTACGCTATTAACGTAGAAGTCAAAGAGCCACAGTGCTTAGCTCCAATTGGCTACTATGACTATTCACTATCTGGTAGTTTGTGGAGTTATTTTTACGCTATTAACGTAGAAGTCATAGAGCCACAGTGCTTAGCTCCAATTATCTACTGTGGCTATTCACTATCTGGCAGATTGTGGAGTCATTTTTACGCTATTAACGTAGAAGTCAAAGAGCCACAGTGCTTAGCTCCAATTGGCTACTATGACTATTCACTATCTGGTAGTTTGTGGAGTTATTTTTACGCTATTAACGTAGAAGTCAAAGAGCCACAGTGCTTAGCTCCAATTGGCTACTGTGACTATTCACTATCTGGCAGATTGTGGAGTCATTTTTACGCTATTAACGTAGAAGTCAAAGAGCCACAGTGCTTAGCTCCAATTGGCTACTGTGACTATTCACTATCTGGCAGATTCTGGAGTCATTTTTACTCTAATAACGTAGAAGTCAAAGAGCCAAAGTGCTTAGCTCCAATTGGCTACTGTGACTATTCACTATCTGGTGGATCGTGGAGTCGTTTTTATTCTATTAACGTAGAAGTCAAAGCGCCACAGTGCTTAGCTCCAATTGGCTACTGTGACTATTCACTATCTGACGGATCGTGGAGTCGTTTTTACCATATTAACGTAGAAGTCTAAGAGCCACAGTGCTTAGCTCCAATTGGCTACTGTAACTATTCACTATCTGGCAGATTGTGGAGTCATTTTTACGCTATTAACGTAGAAGTCAAAGAGTCACAGTGCTTAGCTCCAATTGGCTACTGTGGCTATCAACTATCTGGCAGATTCTGGAGTCATTTTCACTCTACTGAATTAGAAGTCAAAGAACTACAGTGCTTAGCTCCAATGGACTAATGTGGCTATTCACTTTCTGGCAGATTGTGGAGTAATTTTTACTCTATTAACGTAGAAGTCAAAGAGTCACAGTACTTAGCTCCAATTGGCTACTGTGACTATTCACTATCTGGCAGATTCTGGAGTCATTTTTACGCTATTAACGTAGAAGTCAAAGAGCCACAGTGCTTAGCTCCAATTGGCTATTGTGACTATTCACTATCTGGCAGATTGTGGAGTCATTTTTACGCTATTAACGTAGAAGTCAAAGAGCCACAGTGCTTAGCTCCAATTGGCTACTATGACTATTCACTATCTGGCAGATTGTGGAGTCATTTTTACGCTATTAACGTAGAAGTCAAAGAGCCACAGTGCTTAGCTCCAATTGGCTACTGTTACTATTTACCATCTGGCAGATTGTGGAGTCATTTTTACGCTATTAACGTAGAAGTCAAAGAGCCACAGTGCTTAGCTCCAATTGGCTACTGTGACTATTCACTACCTGGCAGATTGTGGAGTCATTTTTACGCTATTAACGTAGAAGTCAAAGAGTCACAGTGCTTAGCTCCAATTGGCTACTGTGACTATTCACTATCTGGCAGATCGTGGAGTCGTTTTTACGCTATTAACGTAGAAGTCAAAGAGCCACAGTGCTTAGCTCCAATTGGCTACTATGACTATTCACTATCTGGTAGTTTGTGGAGTTATTTTTACGCTATTAACGTAGAAGTCATAGAGCCACAGTGCTTAGCTCCAATTGGCTACTGTGGCTATTCACTATCTGGCAGATTGTAGAGTAATTTTTGCTCTATTAACGTAGAAGTCAAAGAGCCACAGTGCTTAGCTCCAATTGGCTACTATGACTATTCACTATCTGGTAGTTTGTGGAGTTATTTTTACGCTATTAACGTAGAAGTCAAAGAGCCACAGTGCTTAGCTCCAATTGGCTACTGTGACTATTCACTATCTGGCAGATTGTGGAGTCATTTTTACGCTATTAACGTAGAAGTCAAAGAGCCACAGTGCTTAGCTCCAATTGGCTACTGTGACTATTCACTATCTGGCAGATTCTGGAGTCATTTTTACTCTAATAACGTAGAAGTCAAAGAGCCAAAGTGCTTAGCTCCAATTGGCTACTGTGACTATTCACTATCTGGCGGATCATGGAGTCGTTTTTACTCTATTAACGTAGAAGTCAAAGCGCCACAGTGCTTAGCTCCAATTGGCTACTGTGACTATTCACTATCTGGCAGATTGTGGAGTCATTTTTACGCTATTAACGTAGAAGTCAAAGAGTCACAGTGCTTAGCTCCAATTGGCTACTGTGGCTATCAACTATCTGGCAGATTCTGGAGTCATTTTCACTCTACTGAATTAGAAGTCAAAGAACCACAGTGCTTAGCTCCAATGGACTAATGTGGCTATTCACTTTCTGGCAGAATGTGGAGTAATTTTTACTCTATTAACGTAGAAGTCAAAGAGTCACAGTACTTAGCTCCAATTGGCTACTGTGACTATTCACTATCTGGCAGATTCTGGAGTCATTTTTACGCTATTAACGTAGAAGTCAAAGAGCCACAGTGCTTAGCTCCAATTTGCTATTGTGACTATTCACTATCTGGCAGATTGTGGAGTCATTTTTACGCTATTAACGTAGAAGTCAAAGAGTCACAGTGCTTAGCTCCAATTGGCTACTGTGGCTATCAACTATCTGGCAGATTCTGGAGTAATTTTCACTCTACTGAATTAGAAGTCAAAGAGACACAGTGCTTAGCTCCAATGGGCTAATGTGGCTATTCACTATCTGGCAGAATGTGGAGTCATTTTTACGCTATTAACGTAGAAGTCAAAGAGCCACAGTACTTAGCTCCAATTGGCTACTGTGACTATTCACTATCTGGCAGATTCTGGAGTCATTTTTACGCTATTAACGTAGAAGTCAAAGAGCCACAGTGCTTAGCTCCAATTTGCTACTGTGACTATTCACTATCTGTCTGATTGTGGAGTCATTTTTACGCTATTAACGTAGAAGTCAAAGAGCCACAGTGCTTAGCTCCAATTGGCTACTATGACTATTCACTATCTGGCAGATCGTGGAGTCATTTTTACGCTATTAACTTAGAAGTCAAAGAGCCACAGTGCTTAGCTCCAATTGGCTACTGTGACTATTCACCATCTGGCAGATTGTGGAGTCATTTTTACGCTATTAACGTAGAAGTCAAAGAGCCACAGTGCTTAGCTCCAATTGGCTACTGTGACTATTCACTATCTGGCAGATTGTGGAGTCATTTTTACGCTATTAACGTAGAAGTCAAAGAGCCACAGTGCTTAGCTCCAATTGGCTACTGTGGCTATTCACTATCTGGCAGATTGTGGAGTCATTTTTACGCTATTAACGTAGAAGTCAAAGAGCCACAGTGCTTAGCTCCAATTGGCTACTGTGACTATTCACTATCTGGCAGATCGTGGAGTCGTTTTTACTCTATTGACGTAAAGTCAAAGAGTCTCAGTGCACAGCTTTATTGAGCTTCTGCGGCTATTCACTATCTGACAGATTGTGGAGTCGTTTTTACTTTATTGGGTTTGATATCAAAGAGCCACAGTGCTTAGCTTCAATGGGCTACTGTGGCTGTTAACTATCTCTCAGATTGTGAAATCGATATTACTGTACTGACGTAATAGTCATAGAACCTCAGTACTTTACTATCACAAAATACGTGAAAGTAATTTAATATTTTTGTATTATGTGTAAAATAGGCTTTGAAATTAATTTGCTATATTAAGGTTAAATTATACTAATTTTAATTTATACATCGTAATCATTATAATAATCTAAATAATTTATACATCGTTATCATCATCATAACAGCGTCTCTTAACTCCACTGCGGAACCTAGGACACTCATAAGTAATGCCACAAAGCACGGGCCTGAGTCACAAAATGTATAGGTATACTTAAATATTAATTTATAATGTTTTTAGACACCATGGTGTAATAAACTAGAATACGATTAGAGATATCTAAACTCGAACGTTTAATAGAATAATATTCTATTTGTAAGACGTATTTTAAATGAAAAAAAAGTACAATAGCAAAGGCGGCACAAACAAGCATCTTAAATCATCACAAGGTGTGACCCGCCCGTATGATTATTACTACACAATCACCGTTCAAGATATTGATAGTGATATATTAATCGGCCGGCCGGCTCGAACACCTTGTATTTATCGTTTGTTTATTTGTGTCCGAACTAGCTATTCGTTCTGGCTTTGCTCGTTTTGTGTGACAGTGAGAGTGGATTTATTGATTTGATTCACGTCTTTGTTATTAATGGAGATAAAAGTGTTCAAAAATGTATAAGTAAGTGCGCGCGTGTGAACGGTAATTCTTTGTAAAGGATTACATTTAAAAATATAGTTTCACTTGGTTGATTTCATCAAATGTGAACGTCCGAAAGATTGGCAGTGATCAACCAAATCTACAGACGATAACAGTGATACTACTGTACACGTAAACTTAAATTCACTCGTTTTAACCTACCTGTTCCCGATGTAATGCTTTTGCGATAACTCCGAAGGTGATCTAATGTGCAGTTTCTCATCATCATCATTAGTGGTTCACAGCTGAAAATAGGCCTCCATCAAAATTATTAGAGGGATATTTAAACTAGTACTCGTAGTGGCGCAGTGGCTTAGCGTTTGGTACTAGGTTCAAATTCTGTGTTTTGGGCCTACAAATAATTGTACCGGTTTCCCATGATACCCGAGAATACTACTGTGGATGGATTAAAACTTTAGCCAAAAATCACCACGTTTGGCAGGCGGGCTAGCAACTGCTTTTTATTGCTTTGTTCAGTTTTTTTTTCTGTCGTGTGTTATGACATCCACAGGATGTGCATAATCTTACGTCACCTCATACGGTAACGTCTGCACGGTGATGATCACCACACAACCAAATCCGTACCAACTCAAAATCTAAAACGTAGTGACTGGGTAATCCAGTCGCCACGTCCAAACTTACCGTTATGGTTTTAAATTTCATTTCAGTTTTGAAATTCTTCATATTATTTATTTTATTTATTTATTTAAAAACTTACATGTAACACCTTAAGCTGAAGGGTACATAGGGCGGACTTAATGCCATGTGGCATTCTCTGCCAGTCAACCCTGGGTGCCAAGGACAATTTTTGGCAGGTGCGACCATTATACATAAATAAGTGCATATACATTAAAATATACATATATGCAAAGTACATACATACACAATACGTTTAAATATACACACATATAGTATAAATATACGTACAATAATACATACATACATATATATAATATATATACATGTTTATAAACTTCGTAAATAAAAATCCAAATGAATGATATATATAATATAATGTTTGAATAATATATAATGAAATAAATATTTGAAGTAAAAAAAAGAAGAAAAGAAAGACAAGAATTAAGGAAAAATAATGTCAATTAGTAGTTGCCTTCAGGTAATGTTCTCGGAGAAGAACTTTGAAGACTTTTTTATTTGTGGCATTCTTAATATCATTGGGGAGGGTGTTCCAAAGTTGTATAGCTTGTATCGTAAAAGACGACCTAAAAAAAATTGACTTATGCTCTGGAAACCTTAGCCTCAGACGGTTTGACTGTCAGGATGTTCGACCGTCGATCGAATGAAAAAAATGAAAATTATCCTTAAGATAACACTTGGATCGTTTAAAATTGAATAAAGTACAAGTACATTCTAGCGCATCGCCTTTGACGTATAGGTAGCCATTTAAGCTTTGAACGATAGGATGATATGTGGTCATACTTACGTAAACCAAAAATAAACCTTATGGAATTATTAAGAAGGCGCTCCAACTTGTTTAGAAGATTTTCTGACAGATCTGGGTAACATACATCGGCATAGTCGATAATAGATAGAATGAGGGAATGAACCAGCTTAAGCTTGGTTTTGAAAGGTAGGAAATTTTTAAGACGATAAAGGGAACGCAAGGTAGCAACAACTTTACGACTAACTTCAGAGATCTGCAATTTCCAGGTCATATAGTTTTATTCATGTACAGTCCAAGATTTTTTATGGAATCACAATATGGAATTAAAGTTCCATTATAAATTACAGGAGAGAGATTTCCATAATCAACCTTAGTCAATAATTGCGAACTTCCGAATATTATAACTTTGCATTTAGCAGGATTAACAGAAACGCCATATTTACATGACCATTCTCTTATGGCTTCCAGGTTATCATTTAGTTTGTGTATTACAAAGTTAAGATTATTTAAGCGTGACTGTACATAGAGCTGGAGATCATCCGCATACAGATGGTACGAACAATCTAAAACTGAGGAGATAGAATTTATAAATAAGGAAAACATAATAGGAGAACGTATTCCGCCTTGCGGCACACCAGATTCAATTTCAGCCCATGCAGAAAACCGCTGACCTGAGCGAACCGATTGCTGGCGACCGCGAATATAAGAAGAAAACCATTCCAAGGCTGGGGATGAAAATTTAAGGTGTTTAAGGATGGATAGGAGGATACCATGATCCACTGTGTTGAAAGCGTTTGAAAAGTCAATAAGCACCAACACTGTTAATTTCTGCTCATCTAAGCCCTTTCTTATAACGTCTGTGACTTTGATAAGCGAAGTGGTAGTACTGTGACCAGAGCGAAACCTGTTAATTATGTTACATTGCATTTAAATGTTTTCCCAACCACGTCGATAGATTGTAAGTTAAAAACTGCGCTTGCCAACTCGCATGCCAAGCGTAACAACTATGAAAAACTTTCCCCCATGAGGAACGAAATAAAACGGTCTCCGGTTTACTCATAATAAATTTGACACTACATTTATATGTATAACGACAATTTCCAACAACAGTACTATATAGCTAGCGCACGCATTGCTGCTTTGCGCTAGAATAGTAAAGAAATAGTAACAAAATAGTGATAGTAAAGAGGCTGGAACATACCCAAACGGACTCCCAGGCTCAAATGGAGTCTTACCACCTAGTAGTCTTGGATATTGCCTTCTCAAAATTTACCATATAGTCTGTACGGGTAAAGAATGGGCTTAGAAATGGCGACTCATTGATATCGTACCGTCAACATAAACGTAGTAAAGTTAAAGCCTATATATGTCCCACTGCTGTGCACAGGCCTCATTTCTGAGAGGGTTTTAGGACAAGGAAGTGTCCGCCGCGCTGCCCCAATGCGTATTGTCGAACTTTACTTTGTGAAGAGAACTTCACTATATGTATTTGAAATATTTTTTTTTCTTATTCCTCAGACATGCAGGTTTCCTCAATATGTTTTCCTTCACCGCCGAGCACGTGGTAAATCAGCACTTAAAATTGCAATTAATAATTTCGTTGGTGCCGGCGGGGCTCGAACCCTGGTTAATCGTTTTCTGTTATATTTACAGCGAGCATTAATCATCTGAGCTACCACGGCTCTTCCTTCACCGTCAACATGCACAGTGCCAATAGCGAAAATTTGCTAATAACAGTATATCATTATAACGTTATATTTTCGGTTATTGGGAATTTTCTATTAATGGGAAAATCATCATCATCATCATTACAGCCTTTCCCAAGTAATGCCACAAAGCACGATCCTGCGCCACCTGCATCCATCGACTTCCTGCATATCTTACCAGGTCGTCACTCCATGCAGTGGGGGGTCGCCTACACTACGCCTACCTCCTATGGGAAAATATTGGAAAATAATTGTACATCCAAGGAGGTACATTAATTTTAAAATAACATTTATAACTAGCGAGCCGCTCTGGTTTCTCCTAAGTGGGCTCTATTAATGTGGTGTTATTTAGACTTAAGATAATCATTAAATATCATTTAATTTATCTTATCAATATTTAATAAAATTTATAAATTTTTCCGACTATATTTAGTCTAAATCACTCCCGGTATTACTCACTAATTGTTCGTGAAGTTTTATTACAATAGGTTCAGCACTTCCGACGATTGGCTCGTACACACAAATTAATGAAAATATAAAAAGCATTACTCATGTCTCAATGACATATAAATATTTTATACAAAAATATAAGGTGGATAAGTCGCTCGAGTCCGTAGGCTTTAACCACCTATTCCTAGGCCCACCCTCACACGTGTCCCCCGGGTGGTGCTAAATGAGCGACAAGCCGATAACACAGACTTGGCTCCACGCCGTGGTAGAGGCGTAAAATATACTACCCTTTATCCGCACCATGAGGAACCATGTAAAAGAAATGGCCCCGAGTTCCCGGCGCCCCTTTAATGGGGCAGGGGTGCGAAGAATCTCCGGGAGGAAAACCGGCGACGAGGTTCGCCACCCGTCACGGTCTGTCTCCCGGAGAGGCGAAAAAGTAGATTGCAGAGGCCCGTCTGGCTACGTTGAATGTATGTGGGGCAATGAATGATAAAATGGATGAAGTATGCGATATGATTTATGATAGAGGAATAGATGTGTTATGCGAAAATGAGACGAAAAGGAAGGGGAAGGATGTCACTAC